GCGTTGACATCCGAGTCACTTTGAGCCTCTATGAAAGACCATTTTTAGAAAGAGCTTGCAAGCATTCTCTCGAGTTGAGAAGAGCAGAAAAAAATCCCGAATCCCAATAACCTCATGACCCTGCCTAACTTCCCCTCTCAGCTATTTCCTGTTAGCTATGGCTATGTGTCTGCTTCTTCGAGTATTACACTGCATACATTCTTTATAACTTTAGTTGGTTAAAGTGGATCAGGTATGGATTAACGTCATGACAGTTTTATTAGAAGTGCCGAGATGAGACTACTTTCCGAAGCGGTTTAAGAGTTGTTATTAAGTCAAGAAATAGGTCTTCAATCGACGCCAACCAAAATCCTTTTTTCTCAAAAACTCGCCCCCCCTCCGCCCTCCCCACTTCTTGCTCCAATCCAAGGAGATACAGGCGTATTTGCCAGTGATCTTATGTTGGCAATATGCGACATGAGCATATAATAGCATTATGGGACAGGGAAAAACAATTATCGAGCGAACGCTACCTGCCTATTTGGATATATAATAAACTCTACTAGTTAAGAGTTAATTGATAGAAGCCCATTTTCCAGGTTTCTCTCCCCCCAATTTACTATCCCATCATTATCCGTCAATCAGTGCGAAAAACGAAAATGAAGTGGGCGGGGGGGGGAGAGGTTGGAGGAAGAGGGGCTAATATCAAGCCAGGGGATATTGATGGATAATCCATCATTACAGTTGCTGGCTGAGTAATGGTTTACCAGGTTAAGTAAAGCCATTAACCCCCCCCTCCTCCCACACACACACATCTCCCCTCCACCTCCCCATGCAATGCTGCGCAATTGCAGGATGACCAGAATTGATGGTCTGTTCGATCACACAACAACCCGGACAACCCATCTTCGGACATAAGCTCCCTTCCCATGCCATGGCATTATTATTATTATTATGCCACCATTTAGCAATCTGTCAATGCTCTTGATAACCAGTCCATCAGAGATCGTAATGGGTCCAATGGGAGTGGTAATGAACACCACGCCGTCTATCACTTGGCACTCTGCTGCTTCCACTCACCTGACGAAGAGAACACGAAGATGGAGGAAGGTGGCACTTAAAAGACGCAGAAGCAGCTGATACAGAGGAAGTGACACCTGTTATTGCAGGTAGACGGGAAAATGCTCCGTTAAAGTGAAAATTGTGTAGATCAGAAATGTATCAAGGGCTTGCACAAATCACTGCTTCTTTCTCGAAAGTTAAATTTATTTAACTAGTTAGAACGGATTGTAACTAAAGGAGACGGCACCATAGCGTCAATTTTGAATCGGGCTCCATGAGTAATTAGAAATAGTACCTGATTTATAGAATATAGGAAACCACCCCTGAGAGAAGATGAGCATGAATATCGTGATTGCGTAGGGCTCATTGTAAACTCTTCCCTTATCAATTTGTTCAACTCTTCCCCCCCTTCCCCCATCAGTCAATAAATAGTTTTTATCTGTTCTATCTATGACCCCTTCTTTATCCTTAAGTCGCCTATCGATATTCCTCCTCTACCTGAATCTTCCATAGGTAGATTTCGCCGCTCCTCTCACAGATTTTCAGTGGGCTGCCCTCGAGAGGAATGCCTCCCGTGAACTGCAAACACAAGGAAAACGTTTTAAGATACTCATAGTGATCACCCTAACACCTACCTGATAGAGAAATTAATGTCATTATATTGGCGAGTCATTGTACGCGCACCATGAGTACCCAAACCGTAGTCGACCACTTGATCCCTGCCATCTTATTCCACCCTAATTTCTGGTCAACCAACAGCGACAGCAATAATACATCCCCCCTAATTAAAAACCACAATAACCTTTCTGTTTATTTGTGCTTACACCCTACCCCCTGAGTTAAAGTTGTTACGTTTGCGCTCTTTATTGAGATAGTAAATGGACCCGTCTTTGACCTTCATTGTTTTTCAAAGGGCTGTCATGCGCACCGTTACTTTACGGTTTGTCGTTGTACTCACATTGTGTGCGAATCTCCAAACCTTATGGATTAAAGCGATTTCAAATTTCTTTGGATGTTATTTGCCATAAACTTATGGATGTACGATAGTAGAAGACATTTCAACTTCCCACTTCATCTTTTCCATCTAGTTTTAAAAATACGTAGACTAAGTAGTTTGGAAGGTGTTCTATTTCTTGAATGTCCCCCGTAAATCAGCATATTCATTTAAACAAATGCGTTTCTTCAACTGGGATGCAAAAATGCTAATGTAGCTTTGATCATTCCTAAAAGGATAGTTAGAGAGTAAAGTACTGACACCTCTCTTTGTTTTATTTAATGCCAAAGTATGAGAGAGGACTGCACAAAACAGGACTATTTCCACTAATTCTAACTTTAAAATACCCTAGATTATGAATCGCGCAAATATTTCGAGTAACTTTAAAAACCAAAAAAACGAAATCCAATATTTGTAAGAAGTCCCCAAACGTCCATCAAAGCTGACTCAAAGGAAGTAGCGTTTGTAATTATAAATGTCTCCTTTTCGAGTATTCCTTCCTATTACCTTTCTCCCTAAAATTCCCACCAAGACAAGAAGAGAAGGAAGAAGTTAAAAGGGAGAAAATTGGGACTAAGATAATTGCTAGGTATTTAAAGGCAAGGGTAACAGTAAGGAGTCACCTTGGAACTACCATGGAGTGGGAGCGGTCCGTTCAAAATATTCCCAAGGTGGGAAAAGAGAGAACTAGTTTCGATTTACCAAGTTTTCTTTAAACCTAAAAATCATTTAAAGAGGGCAATGGCTCTAATGTGAAATGGGTATTTGGTATTTATCAATTCAAGACAGAGCTAAATCAAGCAAAAATCAATGACTGAATCAGCCAAGCTTGGCTTTAACTTAAACTAATACAATTACAACTTCCTGATTTTAATTAATGCTCTTATCTAAAGTCGTTATATCGTAGATCATTACACATGTGAGAAGCTACACTTCACACACATCCGTTGCTCAACGAAACCGTAAACTCTGACTGACCATTGTGTCACCAGGGGGCTTGACACGAAGCATTTCCTTTCTCTGACAATGGATTTTAGCCTCAGAGGGTTAGCATCCATTATAGTTTGTCAAATCTTACAAAGAAGAGTGGTAAGGCCGAAAAATGATAAATAAATAAATTCTGGCCCCTATCTTAGAGCAAATCGATCTCCAGTACTATCTATTGCTCGGGGGACAAAGAGAAAAAACGTTATAAAATTTTGATGGTCCTTAAGTTATGACAAGTGAGCTCGACATGGTTGCAACAGCACACTAAACTTATGAGTACCACACCGTATTCTCTCCTCGTTCGAACAAATAAACGGACCCTTATGGAGAATCATCCCTGTCTCCACATTTTGCTTGCTGTCTATGTTGACCCGTTATCGTGTGTTTGACTTAACAATTTCGTCCTTTGGCTACTCCCTTTCAAATTGTCCTGTGTCTGACTCATGGCTTTAAATTAATTACCTCACCCACCACCCCCCAAGAATTGAGCTTCACTTCCTCCCTTCTACAACAGGCTCTTTTTTGAATCGGCTTGGTGACCAACTGCACTACATTTTCAAAGTTTTAACCATCTCAAAAGCCAGAACCTCTCTTGATGTGGCATTCATATGTCGTAGGATAAACCAAATACTCAGACTAACCTTGGGGAATAGGGATTCTTGCTCGTATCCATAGGCTTGTTCCTCCTCGACATAACTTCAACTTCACCAGGTGCAGCGGAGGAGGCAGTTTTCACCAAATCCGAAGGAGCGAGGGAATTTGAGGCCGGTGTTGGGGTGGGCATCGCCTGACCTCCCCAGGAAGCCACAGCCGCTGCAGCCATCACAGCCGCATAAAGCGATGTTGAGCTCGGAGTTGATTGAGGAGGATTTGTAGTGCTTGGAGGGAGATTGGAGGTGGGTTGTTTGAGATTTGAGGGAGTTGTCGTCTGCATGGAGCCACCGCCTCCTCGCCAGAAATCACCGCTACCACAATTACGGCCGACAGATGATTGAGTTGTTGCGCCTGGATAGCCGCTCAGTCCATCTGGAAATCAAGAATTTATTTAACATTTTGATTCAATTAATTTGTGTCAACCATAACTGCTAAGACGCCCCGCGAAATACTTAGAGACGTGTGGAGGGGGGGCTGATCTTAGCCTTTGAAAGAGATACGTTGCCTAATTATCTGGAGCAACTAATCTTCTTATGGAGACCACCTTAATTCAAGTACTTGAGATGTTGACCAAGTCACTCATACATTTTCATTCCTGTGGGCTAATTTGCTCCAAACAAAACTTATAAAAAAACGCATGCTGTATCTCCGACTTCAAGTGCTTTAGTCGGTGTTTTATCAACCCAAATCCAGATCGACAACTATCGTCGATATCAGAGATCATAAGAATGAGATCGAAATAGAAAGAGCAATTCCTTTTCATTCTTGACCTTTTATGAATTATTTCCCCATTTATTACTTAGATAGAATTGTTTTAACAAAATAAACATTGCTATTTCCTATGGACTTCAAGTATTCCAATTCAAAATGTATCAGTTTAATAATTCGTTGTTTATTAAATTACAAAAGCGCCGCTATTGGCAAAACGATAGTTGTGTGCATTCGAACGACAATATTTCGTCTCCAAATAAAACAATCTTTTATGCATCCTATTGGCCTAATAATGTCAAAAAACAAATAGCGACTCAATATCGCCCTTAAAGAAAAAATACACTGTAATTACAATTCCCCAACTTTACAACCTAGTAATTACCGGCAGAATAGCCATAATTTGTATCTGAAATGAAGAGCACATTTGAATAAACCGAAAATGGGCGATAGGATTCAGCAAAACAAATAAATGCGTTTTCTTCAGCTAAACTACGAAACTAATATCGCGTAATATTTCGCAAAACAGTACTGCAGTAATGTCGGTTTGGTAAGACCAAATGCTGATAAAAATTAATGGGAATAAAGTTTCTAAGACTAGTTAACTAGTGAGCGTCTTGAAGTCAATATTTAGGGATCATTTGGGCAATAAAGTGCCACAAATGCGAAGTTTCTTTTGTTGATTTGGTGATATTTTTGTGTAGCTAAACCGATTGGAAATGATATCAAAAAGTACATTCGAATAAAGAAGTCTTGAAGTCATTTTTGTCCGGAGTGCCTCTAGTTCATTAAAACAAAAATGATATTCCTCCGTTTATTAATTTCATATAACAATCAACCGCTTCACAGTTACATTGAGGCAAACGTTGGCAGAGTTTCACTAGGATCGAGGAGCCATTCTGGACCGACTTCAACGAGATACTCGCATTTTGCCACCACCTCTTTTAGGCAAGAAGAATCCAATGTGATTGAGCACCTATATCACTGAAAGGGCTCCGATAAGTATTGATCTCATGGCCCTATATTTAATAGATCAAATGAGTCAGCGCTCTCATATTATTTCCATTTTTATAAGACCTCTTCAGAACCAAATTTGCGTCTTTGGAGAAAACTTTTGAGCGTCTGAAAATCTCAAACATCCCGGCACTGTCTATTAGACTAAGGCTACTATGATTTGCTGTTGATACGCAATTGATAGTTGAAGAACTTTGGCTATATGCATCTGTAGATAATCTCTGTTCCATCTGAGTGATTTACATCAAAACGCATGGATTAGAAGCAGATATGGGGGCTAAGTGATCGAAGGGAGGTTTGTGGATCATTTATGCGCGTGTAGGCAACAGTATTTTCAAATTCATTCTGGTTTACATAATTAATCATCTTTCTCGTTGGCGTACACAAGTGCATTCTTGCGTGTTTTCGTGCGTACGTGCGAGCGTGGACATTGCCACGCACGCACTTTAGATTTTCTCCTCCCACGCAGAGAATTCTCGAAGTTTGATTGTACGGCGTAAATTAAAAGGCACTCGCCTACGCATGCGAATTCGTGCGTACGAGCTCATGTTTGAATGCGGTTGGGTAGAGTACATCGGAATCACCTAGGTATGCACGCCCAATCAGAAATGTAATTGGACAATGCAAGCAAGCACGCGTGCAGACAATTATGATGCCTCGATCGGCCTGCTTACATACTACTCAAATCCTATGTAGGTATTTCAGTAGATAAAAGAAAACATAGAATAGGGAAGTAGAGAGAAGGAGGGAAACGGGGTGGGTGATGCTTTGCCTGCAAAATAGTGAATGTGACAAATAAAATCGGTCCGTGCTTTGACAATTCGAGTTCAATTAGAGACAACTCTGTCCTGATTTGACTTGGGAAAGTTGATAAGGCTAAATTAGCACGGTTGCAACTTAGAGGATTAAGGAGGATAAGCAGAAGAACGTCATAAAGCGTGCTAATTAGGAATATCGACCATTAATCAATCAATCAATCAAGTGCTTGTCAATCTCGTTGATCTGTTTCCTATCCAGTGAATGAAATTTTGATAAAGACTGCTTGATTAAATTGTTAACGGGATTTTTTTAAACTTAACCCTCAGGTCTTGAAATTTAAGACCACAAAATATTAAAATTTAATAATTGGCTACCAATTCTTAAGACCCCCACGGGCGTATTCAATACTGATCTGCGGGAATGGATATTACTCAATGCGGCAATAATAAATAAAACTACTCTCTTAGCCGGTAGTTTAAATCTACTCTCGATAGTAGAGGTCAAGATCGGAGAAAAAAAACTATAAGCAACTGTTTAAGACTACAACCCCTAAACAAGTTGCGAATTCGAACAAAGAATGTAGCTAAAATTATCTTAATCATTTTTTAGCTGTCATCTCGCCCCTCCGCTGTGGTTGAACAACTAAGCCACAAAATATTGTGTAAGAAATATTTAGAATAACGTAATTGAATTGAGATGGAGGGTGAAGGGGGGGGGGGAAGAGGGAGGGACCGTCTCTTAGTGTTCTAAAAGTCCTGTCAATAAGCATTTAACAGCGCAGTAGACAAGCATTTTCTGCAATCCAGAAGATAAATCATTAGACTTAAACTTTGAAACAGGAATAGCCCATTTAGTAAATATAGTACAACCCGAAGCCAAAACGCATTTGAAGTACGACTCAGTGTTACTACGGCATTGTTCTCGGTACCATTTGTTTTAATACACTCCATATGGGCTATAACCCATTTCAATTGTTCAAATTTACAACAATTATTGTTGGAAACCCCTGAGGGTGTGCTTTAGACTTACCTCCACGTGGTGCACATTGGGCAACGTATACTCTTACGGCAAAAGACTATAAACCGTCAATTGACATCTGACTTCAAACTACCATGACGCGACTCAATGTCATATTTAATCACTTCCACGATTCTCATCTTACCTTTTCTCTAACTTTGTGTCTGTCTATCTCTTTCACATATGCGAATAACTCTTCTGTTTCCACTCTCGAATTATTCCCACTTTGATGTTCTTCCTCCTCTCTATGAAACTCGAAGTCTGCTAAAGGGCTAATGATAACTATCAAAACGCCTGCCATTTGAAATAAATAAATAAATAGCGAAAATCCACGGACTTCAACTCTAATTTCTCATTAAATAAAGCATTCTATGATCGATTCCAATAATTAATGTCAATTTAAACTGATCTGTGACTACCAACAAGAGTCAATTAAAGGAGTAAATTTGATAATTACACTAACCTCTCAATCTGGAGTTGTTCTGAGTCGAGTCCAAGCTATCAGCTAGCCGTTCCATGGGGGATTTTCGAATTGCATCAGAATTTCTAGACGGAGATGATACACCCTGGAGAGGATTGTGATAGAAGGACATGAAGGGATTGAAAGGATTCGATAGGAAATGAGGCAAATGACCTCCGGACTAAATTGAAATTGAGGGAAAAAGAAAAACCATTTAGTAATGGAGTGCTCGATTGGTTAACCTGAAGAGCTATCCCAAGTCCAACCCACTATCATTGGACAGAATGTTTCTGCTATTTGATAAAGTCAAAATGGATTTAGGTCCTAGGTTTACGTCCGAATATTTTTTTACGTTAACAATCGATAATGACGGTTTTGATAAGAGAAGCATATTATACTCGATACCTAGGGGTGTCTAAATACCTCAACAGTCAAGCCCTACCATTCAATCGATTGTTAACACAATTTCCGCCATTATTTACAACTCTTTTCCATTGCTTCTGTAGTATTCTTCGATTCGATTTTTGAAAATAATCACTGTTTTGAGTATTTTTCCAGATCGGTAGCATTTTGAAATCGTTTTTTTCTTAGAATACACTTCATGCAACGTGAAGAGGGATTGTGAGTTGGTGAGAGGTCTGGCAAATGAGGAGGAAGTAGGAGAATATCCCGACTTAATTTGTGGATGCTTTGGGAAGGTTATTCTAGCCGGTTGGCGATGCATTGTCATGTTTACATACTTTCTCACTTCTGTTAACTATAGTTGGACATTTATTGTGATTTTTGCCCTCCCAGCTAGTGACAACAATAAGCCTCTTCTTAAACTGTTGAGCTTAGTTTTAAAAATTCGTGATTGACTATTCCACATGTGATTTGCCAAATGCGTTGGTCAACACTGCTTGACTTAGGGAATGGAATGGGTGCTTGATTTGGAGACAACCCCTGTTTTTCCCACTGACTTCGTCAACGTTATTTTCTCTCCTTGTAACAACTTGGATTCCTTTGTTGTTATGACAATAAAGAAATGCTCATGGTTCTTTACCCGTCTCTGGTATATTGGGGAGAATTCAATTTGCGATGTACCTCAGATGACGTTGCAAAGTGCACCACAGGGACACAAGTTTCTGTGATATAATTCTTCCACATTTAATCGAAAATCTGATTCAAAAAAAGAGATTTTAATACGCCACCATCACCTATACAAGAGCAACCTGGTTTTGGTGCATACATTCAATTCTCATTACTTTTAACTTGAAAGTTGTTGTCATCATTGGTGGAGTGGTATAACTTTCATTTACGGAATTTGTGGTCTCGCAGGCGTTTAAGCCCAGAAGAAAGGAAAAAACAACAGCATGCAATGGTCTCACGTGTTCTCTGCCTTCCTTGGGATTGACCTTTTTTGGTCCTCAGTAATAAAAAAAACAAATTTATTGCTTAAAAATAATTTCGAACAATTTGGGTAAAGTCAACGCAGACTTGTTTCCCACATCAAATCTAGACCCAAACTGAGCTAAAACAACATCTGTTTGTAAAATGAGCGATTTCTTACCTGTACAATGTAAAAAACAACCTTCACATCAATAGAAATAGTTATATTAACAGAGAAAATCGCTTCCGTTTCTTTTTCTAAAGAAAAGTTTCATTTCAAATCTCTCCCTACATTGCGATAAATTCCGATTAAAATATAAAGACAACAGAAATATTTTTCGTATGAAGAACTTCGATCAATGGCATAATCAGGCCAAGTTAACCTGATCACGCTTATTAAATTTCCATTTCGATTTCAGAGGCATGGAAGTGTTTGGTCCCATTCAGTTTATCGATAAGGCTGGGCAATACATTTTTTCCAAATTGTTTGTTTAGGTTGCACATTCAAAATTGATGATTTGTACCTTAACTTCCTCAGAATGGATCTCCATCACTCCCTAAAATTGAGCTCGTAAAACAATTAATCCTCCTTTTATTAGCCTTTCCCAATTTTTTTTTCATAACCATAGTTTCAAACATTATAAAAAAGTTCAATGGGCTTTCCTGCTGCAAAAAAACATGCGCAAAGGTAACCTTTTTTAATTACGGTCTAATGAGAAAGAATGTGAAAACAATATAAGTAACAAAAAAGCACCCAAAGCCCTAACACCAGGCAAACACTTGATTCACGCCAAACCGCGATCAACAGCTCCCATGATTTTTTTTGGCAGAACTAAAGAACTCGAGAGGGAGGAGAGAGAGAGAGAATGTAAGAGCCGATTCTCACTCAAATGTAACGAAACTCGACGAGCAGGCTGCCTATGTGAGTAGAGTAGCACAGCAAGCATTCTCTCTTGCTCTGTATTGCGAAATCTTGCCATCTTCCTATCTCGTTCCTTCTCTCTTCGCTCTAACCAACTTACTTCCCCGCATAGAGCAATGACTAATTGAAACATGGACACGGAATAGGGTGAAAGGAGGGGGGGGGGGGAATGGGC